TGGTCCGGGTGGTCTGGGATGGAAGCTTACGTAGCCAGTTCGAATTCGATCCCGGATTCAATCCCGTATTCGATCCCGGACCAAAATCATCCGGGATTGAATACGGGATTGAATCAGAGATTGATTTTTTCCCCAAATTTCTCAGTCCTGCAAGCACAACATGAAAATGACMCTAGATCTACATGGYTGCTTCAGATAGSGCCGATAATGAAATCAGAACAACAAACGTTTCTAAAAATTTTGTTATAATCTACCCGACCACTAACCTTGCGATCGATGACTTCDTAGGGCGAAACAATGGAAGAGMAACGTCTGAGATAACTTCGTAAGGTCCGRGATGGATGAATCGTCCAACGTCCTTTGTCCGAGATAACGTTCGAGATGGGTTTTAGGATTTTAGGACAAATGAAACGTTCGAGAAATGGTGAAAATTTTCGTTGGGCCAGGAAACGTCCGAGATGAGGTTTAGGATTTTACTTATTTACTTGGAGGGAGTTCCCTTCATTTTTAAACATGAGGGTACTATGGTAAATTGACTTGGGAGGGTTCAAAATTAAGTAGAGGTGGAGTCAAAAATTAGGTTTTTTTTTTAAAGGGGTTCATTTATCCAATTTGAACTATTGGTGGGGTCAAAAACCCCAATTTCCCTCATTTCTTCTTCCTCTAAAAAAAAGTACTAATAGTAGGAAAAATAAAATTTCCACGATGACCAACCCCTTTTTTCATAATACAAATTTTTGTTGTACACAAAAATGGATTTTTTTGCTATAGGCTGGATTTCATTTTTTGACCGGATACTCGAAATTTTGGACTGTTATGCTATATTAATGTTCTTAGAATTCAATTTCAAAACAATTGTCAATGAGAAGGGTAACTCACTTATATTATAAACCATTTGGGTATATTTTGGCTAAAATTTTTATAAGTATTTATTTTTTTAAGAAAAAGAAGTTTTTATTCTTTTTTATGTAGGTAAAATGTACTTTTAGTCCATGAATTTTGAGCTAAGTATCTATTTTTAGTCCTTGACATTTGAGAATGGTTCTAATGGTCCGGAGTCTATTTTACCGTTATGTGAGATTTTTAGATGAAGTGGCATTTTTTTATTAGATTTATCTCTCTTTCCTTCATTGTATTCCTCTTTCATACGTGATAGAAAAAGAAAAAGCTGTCTTTTTTGTTGCATAGGTAAAAGAATAGTCTTTTTTATTAAAACAAAAATAAAAAATTGATATATTTTAAATATATTAAAAGATTTAACTGCTGAGCTATATTCATGTTGGCGGATAATTTTTTAATTTGAAATTATTCTTCTTCTAAAACACATATTAAACAAATTAATTATTTCTTGGTATCTCATCTCAAATATATTAACTGAATATATAAATATTAATTTAAAATACAAATGAAGTTCACAACTTTAAACTTATGTCGCCTTTAAAATGTTATTTAATAGTCAATAAACTTTTAATGTACCAGACTAATTTCATAATCTTTCTAAAGTATGAGGCTAAATAGAAGTAACCCAATTAAAAAGTCTTTAATTAATGGGCTAAATAAATGAATCTTGAAAGTTTACATACAAACTTATAGATTTATAATTTAAGAATTGTAGCACTGTTTGACTAAACTTGAAGCCCAAATACAGCATCAAAGTGGGTCCAAATCAACGAGGAAATATTTTATCTTCCAACTTGAGAATTGGATTCCTAAGTTATAATTCTCATTTTCTTTTTCGTTTTTATTTTACATTAATATAAAAAAAATTGATTAATTTGTGCCAAAAGGGAAAATACTTTTTTGTTACTTATTACTTGAAGTAATAAATTTTCATAAAACATGGGATCTGAGAAAATCGGAAAATAAAAGAAAGGGGAGGAGACAATTCCCTAGGCTTCGCATCTCCAAACCAACAACTTTTCACTCTAAACACGGACTACACAACTAGTTAACGACTTTACTCCTAGACCAAAAACCCTCTTGAGAAAAGGAAATACACTTCATGAAACCATTAAATAATTTCAAATTTCTCCCAATGCACGCACATACATACACATATATATCTTTTTTAAGCTTACCAAATTTCTCTCCTATACCCAAAGAACACTCACACCTGTACAAAGCTTGAACCCAAGATACATCGAAGGTTCGAATTTGAGAATTCTAAGTTAGTATAACCAAGACACTCCAAATCCTTACCAACTGGGCTGTTCCTTGGGGTCTTCTCCGAACCTATTCTAAATTCCAATCTAATATAAAAACAAAAAGAAAACAAGAGCAAAGTTGTAGGAGATGAACAATTTGTGTGAAATGAAATTGTAGAAGCAAGCAATGAACATGGGGAATTGAATAGATGAGAAGAGATGATGAAGCTATGCCTCATAATTTTTTGTCATTAAACAGTAAACACAACAGTTAAATTACCAAGTCGTCCCCTTAACAGCAACTAAATACTATTAACTATATACTATTTGGTTACCCTCGTCCTGCTTAACAACCAAAATCCATCAACATCATCAGTCAGTAAGCCATCAACTATCTTATTAACACCAATACTACAACCAAGCAACCAACTACTTACAACAAACATCCAAAACCCCTACCCCTCTCCTCTCCTCTCCTCTTTCACTCCACAGTTTGTTTGTTCTTTGCTTACTCAAAGTTTAACCACATCCCGCCCACCACAGCAGACTGAAAATTCATCATTCACTTAATGTAATGCCTAATCTACAGCCCCTTGAAATGCCTATACCTGCCGAATGACCCGTACCGTGCTGCTGACCGAACGGAGGCATCCCACAGGAGTTGGATGATATCAATGTACAATCAACCACATTTGGAACCGTTACTGGGGTGCTTGTCTCTGCTGTCTCGCTCTTCGCCTCGCCATTTTCATCCCCTGCCATTACTCTAAGAAACGCTTCAAGTGCCACCCGCATCCACTCATACCGGCACAGCCTGAATGCCTCTTTAACATTGAGCTGCAAATCAAAAGATGCAAAAACAAGTTTACTAAACCAGCTTCTCAAAAATGCTTTTTCAAAGAGTGCTGCATAGGGACTTAGAGTTTCTATACTGACCCATCTCCTACGGCGGTTTCCCTGCTCTGGCCAAAACTCGAGCTCCTCAGTAACTTCTAACGCAAACATGTATCCTCGGCATGCTCCCTCCATGCTGCAAATATCCTGCCTGCTTTTGCTTCTAAACTCCCAAACTCCGAGGGGATTTTCCTGACAGAAAGAAACAACACAATTTTATTTTCCAAGGGAAACAAAGAATACTGTCTCCGCGGTGGTGGACCAAGTTACAGCAACCATGGGATACCTCCTAAGGGTGTATTTGGAAGTAACGGTAGAATGAGTGATTTTGAAATATGAGATTTAAGTATAATTGATTTTTCAAAATCACTGTCCAAGTGATATTTTAAAAATCAATTTAAAATGATTTTAAACTTCCCTAAAATCAATTTTTTAATTTGCAAAACATGATTAATGGAAAGAGAAAAGGGGAAATGATTTTAACAATGACAAAAGCGATTTTGACCATGCTACTTTTAACAGTCAGTGCGTGAATAAATTAAGCTGCTGGCAAAATTCGGGTAAACCTCAACATAAGTGGCGAGTAGTTATCATGGAGTAGGGACAAAAGTTTACATTATCACATTCTTTTATATATATGATCTTTTAATTTTAAAAAACTTAGGAGACAACTTTAAAATCTTAACTTTTTTCACCTAAAACGCACTGGGGCAATTGCCTCCATTTCTAACTTATTTGCTCTGCCCTAGTATAGTTAGCACAATCAAATGTTCATTTTCATTCCATTGACATTTCATAAATGTAGTAATCAAAGTTTTCCTGTAAAAAAGTCAATAACTCGCTAACAGCATCAACCTCATGCTGAAAAATAGTGAAGTCTGGATTTTCTGAGGGGCCTAGTTGGTTGTGCAAACTCTTCCTAGACTAGAGTCATCAACGAGCATCCAAAAAGTTCTACAACGATGACATACGTTGAGTGATATTTGTGAAGAAAGCATGAAAAAAGACCGGCAATTTACACGAGAAAGCAATATATAAACCTACGTTGAGCTTTCCTCTCACTCCTGCTTCCTCCACAGCTTCACGACATGCTGCTTCCAGGATGGTCTCATCATCCTCCCATCCACCCTGAAAAAGCAGAACAAAGAGAAACATTGACATATAGGACGATGGTATTTCATGCCAAACACCTTCAATCAAAAATGGATAAAATTTTAAACCTTTGGAAACACTAGGTCGTCACGATTTGGGGAGGAAACCATGAGAACTTCGATCTTGTTCTCAATGCCACACTGGTCGTGAACTTCATCACTCTCCCCTATCAGCCTATAAGGAATGCATCTGTTGCACATATGCCAATAATAAGCAACAAATGAGTACAGCTTGCTGTTCTGGGTTAAAATCATTCAGTCATAATACCATCCTCAAAATTATACTAAAAGAAAGACATTTCCATTTAAGAATTGAACTTTGATATAGCTAGACGTAGAGAAACTTCTAATTTTTGGAGTCAAAACAAAACAATCATATCACACTCAGATTTCTTAATTCAACATCCAAGCAGATTTGAAGTTGGGAACGTGATGAGAAACAAGATTTCCTAAATAGATAGAATGTTCTCATATTATTTAGCAGACACGTCGCAAAGAAACTTTGCTCACACCAAAAGTGAAAAAATAAAAATAAAAATCCGCCGTCCACATCACATCATCAGTATAGAGGAAGAAGAGGAACAATCTAGAAATTGTTCCTTTTCTTCCTCTATACTCATTAGGTTGTCTTTTCATCAAATGACTCTAAAATAAGACAAAAATTTGGGGTTATCATTTTTTGCAAATAATATCAGTATCTATGTCATTCTAACATATAAAATTCATCCTACACACTTCAAATACATACATCTCATCCCCAACGATCTTATCCCTAAATTTCTCATTTCAAAGCTCAGCAATTGGATGCAGGCATACCAAAATGTTTAGAACGTGACCAAGTTTATAAACAATTAAAACGAAGGATCCAAAAGGTTTCCAAATATTATAATTGCTCCCATGGACTTTTGGAGCATAAATTGCAACATCAAGTCACAGCCCACATCGATAACAACAGAAATGTTTTTTTAACGGCTGAAATTGCCCACTAAAACACGTCCTTACCCACAAACGAAAGGCTACAGCGGTGTTGTTGATAACAATGATATGTGTGGAGTGGCTACCGATTTCCACAAAAGAGACAAAATAGATAGCGAAACCCTTTTGTTGTTCATGTAACCGAAGTCAAAAAGAAGACCCACCATGTAAATTTAATATATATATTTATGGATCACTGTACCAGAAAGATACAATAATCGTAGTTTGAGATACCCGAAAATCATTGCATAGCGCAGAACTTTGAGATGCACAAAAAAAAAAAAAAAAACCCAATTGAAAGGTTCTTTGTAAACCGTGCAGATTATAAGCCAAGCGATATTAGGAAAAAGGAATAGAGTACGAGTCATGAAGAAACAAAAGGGAAGAAGACAAAGTAGAATGCGACGAAATTGCAAAAAAGAAAAACAGAGAATATAAAAATTTCTCAAATGGACACGGGCTAATAACAAACAAGATCAAAGGGTATCGTGGTTCGAAGTGAAAGGGGCCGGAGAAAACAAAGAAGAGAAAAAAGCATACCCTGAAACGAGACGAAAATTGTCGTCATATCGCTGCCGATGTCGCCCTGTTCTTGCCAACACCGCAGACATAATTTCGGCGAATGTAAACCCTAAAGAGAATTGCTACTGAAACAATATGATGGGAATGAGAATTGCGAAGAGAGAAATAGAATAATTATAGATTAGAGAGCGGAATTGAAACGAAATGGGAAAGCTACCTGGCCAGTAATGTAAGGAACAGCGTGTGGACAGATGGGAGAGGGATTAATGAGAGCAACAGCGAACGGAAGTGAAGAAAGAAAAGCAGAAACCGAAATCGAAAGCGAAGCGATGTAATTCATGTWGGTTTCTGCAACTGACAGAGCATTGAAYGCCCGCGTGGCTATTACAGAGCGATTTTCGGCCTGCCCTTTCTACTTAAAAACTTACAACTCCGCCATGAATGTGAAGAAGGAAGAAGAAGAAGGAAYTGTGAAGAAATTGCCAGAGRGAAAAGGAAATCAAAAGGAAATGAAAGGAAAGARGAGAGAGAGATTTCCGCGGGGCCAATGGCATAGCAACGGCGCCCATTTTATATCCCACCACACACCCATTCTCATAATTCATTTCCTTTGCTTTGCTTTAACTGCCTTCTAAACATCCCATCATAACTCCACTGACACCTAATTTTGATGGGTAAATTAATTCGAATATTTCAATTTCTACTATTTTAACTGTTTAAATAGACAATTTTATSATGTTAGAGGGTATTTATCAACTGTCATGTGTCAACATCTGGAGTTATCTATTACGGAAAGAAGACAGCTCTACAGAAAAGAATTCTATAAAGTCAAGTTTCCTTAGGTTGGTGTTCCATGTTCGAGCTACCATGTTTTCTACACTCCGACCGACTAACGATGTGTATGAGTCGAGGTTAAAGARTAGTTGAGGGAGTCCAGACGACGTATATATTTTTCGACAAGACGGTTCGGTCCTAGGTTATCAGAAGCCCTGTCAGTAGCTCACCTCTATAAATAGAGAGTTTTGCCCCTCCCAAATGTACGCGAAATATATTCTCTCTTGAATATTGATCGGACTGTGTGGTGACTAGAGCGTCGGAATGCTAACTTTGTTTTACAGATCTTGAGTATTTCAATTTTACCGGTCCAAACTTTKCGGATTCCAAACTCGATCATTTTCATAATTTAACTTTGATATTTTAGTTTCGAGAATTTATTATATTCACTTGGAACAAACTAATAAGCACAAGAAGAATGGGACAATTTTTCTTGTCTTAATTTTTTTCTTGTGGTATAGATATCTCGTTATAAAAAAAAATAATAATAAAAATAAAAAAATCATGAATTATTGATCCACGAAACTGATACAATTACAATGTGACTCATGTTTTATTGCTTATCTATTTCACTTTTAAATTGTTATAAGAAAAAGAAAGGAGGGGTGGCCCCACTGGGCATTAAAAATATAATTAATTAAGGAAATTAGAAAAGCCATATAGCCAACAATAATAAAAGGCATTTATTTTGTTGTACTAAAAAGAAAATAATAATAAATAAACAAATAAAAGGCATTTATTTGCATCCTTAATTCTTTAGTAGAGATGGTTGGGATCATATACTATTCTCTGTGTATACCTTCGAGGAAAGTGTACGTGTAATTTTTCTTAATTTTATAAATAAATTAAAACTTTCTCCCCACCAATCAATTTTGAGTATTTGGGTTCTAAAAGATAAAGTGGTTTGTCAGTGGCTTGTTCTTCTTTTATTTTTCCTTGTGTTTTACTTTTATTTAGTTGAACAAATGTSGTTGTTTGAGAGTGATTTTGGCTTCATAATTATCCAAATCACTCTTATTTCCGTGATCATATTTGAGAAATTAAAAAATTAATTTTAAGAAAGTTTAAAATCACTTTAAATTTATTTTTAAGGTATTACTTTGTTGATTTTGAAAAATTAATTATACTTAAATCTCATTTTTCAAAATCACGCATTCTATTTTCACTCTCAAACACACCTTCAATTTTAAGGAAGATACATATGTATTAACAATTGAGCTACACTCACATTTAAAATCTTAATCTTTGTGGAAGAAAAAGGTTAGGATGTGCCAAGTGGAAAATAAAATATAGTATGTTATAGGAGAACCGACACGCGACTACCATGTATTGCACCATCGGAACAATACATTAAGGAGTGCTCCAAGGAGCCATCAGCATATGGAGGTCAGAAAACTAAACTCAACTACATATGGGGTTGACAATCTACGGTCCAACCACTACATGTCTCAATCTATTCCACCATCTTCAAAGTAGCCAACGACTCTAGGAAAGAAGGTAGTAAACGCCAATRCAATCCCGGCAAAATCCCATGATCCAAGAAGGAATCGACTAGTGGTTAATGACTTTTCCATTTCGTGGCCACCTATAAATAAAGGGAAAGGGGGTGAAACTTATTAAAGGTATGTGTGAATTTTGACTGAAAACCTATACTCCAAATTCCGACATGTACTAGCTCTTGCAGGTTTCATTGTTCACGAGAAGATTCATTCGATCGTTTAGACGAATATTCTATACTCAAACGTAGTTTCATGTCAACTAGAATAGAGGAAGACGTTGTATTACATAAGGATAATATCTCTATTAATAAGAAGTTTTTGCATTAAAGTGAAACCAAACGCAAAGTTGTACGGGCTATATATTCCATTATCCTAACAAGATGTTTGTTACATGTGCAATGGTGCATGGAACATAAGAATCAATAGTCCAAAGAAATCCTAATAAGATATACATCCATTGTGTTGCAACTTTTTGACTATGCACATGTAACTACAGTTTAATTAGGCAACCTTTTGATTCAGAGGTGCACTAATTTAATTTYTCTTTCTTTGTGGAAAATATCAATTGAATTTTTTTGCTGTTAATTTTTTTTTTTTCAAAAGTTGCTTGAGCTAACCAATCTACTCCATGTTAATGAATGGTTTATGTTTGCGACGAAGATAAAAGAAATTAATAAACAGAGAAAAGTTGAGCATTGTACGGACGCGTGTTGTTGGGAGAATTCGACTAGAATCATGTCACGTGGAAGAAAGGGCCAGTATTCGTGATCTCGTCCCAAAGGGTCGGGAGAGAACGACYTGGAAGAGACGACCCGAAGAAGGGCTATGGTYGGAAGCCTTTCGACCACGCAACGCCTCAGGTTGGAATGAACAACAATTAGGTGTATCCGTCCCCAACTACCTGCGATTCGATACARTACCTACTCTCCACTGCTTATCATACATCTACAGGATTCATAAACCTATAAAKAGTGGACTACACCCTAACATCAGATATCATATTCTATCTTGATCACTCACTTTAAGTYGGATTCTAAATAACTTCATCATCGAAATGTATGTTCCCTTGCACAAGTATTCTCGCACAGAACGACACGATACACTGTYTAATCCTGAAGATCTTACAAACGACCGACCTGACGAAGTTGGACATTGGCTCATTTTGTTGCACAAACATGTGTGAAATAATATACTTTAAATATTTTGAAAACAAGCTAAAACATTAAATTTATAAAGTTTATAAGCAATAGGAGAGTATTTGTGCACTCCCACCATATTCATTTAATCTCAATTGTAGAGAGGGGAACAATGAATAGTTATGTATATATCTAAGATCAGGATGTGAGATTCTTGAAGGTTGGTCTCCCACCTTATTCAAAGTTTGTTAGGCTTTTTCAACTCTTCCTTTAAAGGTGYTATCTTCTTGTGTTTTTTCTRACTATCAACCTATACTTTTCTTATCTGTTGTGTTTTCTTAGGATTGACCTGTTRTATTTAGTGTGCTTTCTTACCGTTCTTTTTCAAATATTATCTTTTTATTTTAGCCTTAAAAGCACTTTTTGAAGAATTTATGTTGTTTTATTAGAGTGAATGAAAACAAAGAAGATCAACAAGGGAACATAGAATGTGCCAAGTCAAAAGTCACTTTCATAAGGGCAAAGTTTTACAAGGTAGACCAAAAAAAAAAAAAGGACTTTAAAATTTGAACTTTTTAATGTCATTTTTTAAAAAATTTGTAATGAACTATAAATGGGCAATTGCTTCTATATATCTCTACAATAAGCTCAACATCGTAGTGCTTAATCACTTAGTGGAAAACACAAATGACTTTTATCGATGTTGCCTAGCTATTAGTATTTTGCGATATGAACTAATTGTGCAAAAAATTCAATAACCTTTATATTAAAACATATATAAAATGAAGAAAATTGGACTCCCTCCCTTATAAATCATGATCCTATTCTCCTCCTGTCAAAAAAAAAAAAAACAAACAAACAAACAACAAAAACAAAAACCATAAATCATAAATATCATGATATTCTTAACTTTGTAATGACATAGTTCCATTTTTTCAATTAAGTGTTTAATTTTTAAGCATAAACATTCGTACGACAATCATAACAACGATTCTAAGTTAATATAAGGCTTGCACATAATTCCCCCTCATAAAAGGGTTAAAGAGTGAGCATAGACATGCCCGAGAAAATTTGAAATAGCATAATGAAAGTCTAATATGACTAGGAGGCACATTATCATTAAGTTAATAGTTCAACTCTACTCGCATCCCTTACGGAGGAAGTTCRGATGCAAAGAATGTCAAACAATTGTAACTCTATATAWTAACCGCATCCCCTCCCTTATGGTGTATCTCTCGCCTTAAATTTCGAAAGTGATCATTGAGGTGGACACACAATTCAAATGGTTATCTCTTTCAAATAATTTTCTAGAAATACCCAAATTTTTTAACAGAGAATTTTCTCTCTAGAAATGAATACTGAACGAGTTGTAGCATCGTCTTCGAGTGTTCTTAAAGAAGATACCACATTAATGATATGAAATCCACTTACGTTAAAAAATTAGATATAAAATTTAAATCATGACGTGGACTAAAAGAATAAATATACCCATAATACTAAAAATCTTTCCGTAGGGGAGGGCCTAGGCCTATGCCTAAGGGGGAACGCAAAAGCGAACCAAAATAATGGAGCATGAGAGTGGATTTTAGAGAACAGAGCAGTGGGCCCATCCCATTACTAAATTAATATTGATATTAATATTTTTAATATATTGATTTTTTTATTTTTTTATCAAGTACGTGTGACAATGACATGATACGGCCCCCACATGCATGCCGACATCCATGAATGCCTCACCACATGCTCAATCCCATTTAATATTTTATTAAATCTCCAACCATATAATAAAAATATAATATAYTATTGTTCAACTTTATATTAATAYAAGGATTCRCAGCGCTTTTGTGTGTATGCGATTTAAAAAAAGTATATATAATCCATGCAGTAAATCTTTTCTAAAACAACAAAATTTGTTGTTTAAGAGAAAATTAATTAGGTCACATTTGAAGAAAATCAAGAGTGGTATATGGACCTGCAGACATAATCTGAACAAACCCACGATATAACACCATATAGTAATAAATTGAGGAGTTGACCCATTAAATTTTTTGGGGTTCCTGCCCCCACCAATTTTAATAAAATCTGCCCATTTCCCTTCCCATGTGCTTTAAATTTGAAAGAAATTA